CATGAGAGCGGTATCCGATATTACATCGTAGGCTTAGCAGACAAGTGTCTTAGTGTTGGTGAACTGAAGCAAACACATTCAAGCGATATCATCATTCAAAATGCAACAACAGAAAGTGTATCACTAGTTTTCCCTAAAGAAGGCAGGTACTTTACTTCACTTGTTGCTGTGAACAATGCTCTAGAGCCTTCTGATGTTATCTGCTCAGATGGTATTACATTTGACCTCTCCCCACCAATCATAGAAAACATTACCCTCCACCAAGCATCTTCTTTATCTAGTCTCCAATGCATATTTGATCAACCATGGCTAATCAACTCTAATATGACAATGGCTAGGCTTCCAATGGTACACATGTGTCGCGATCGGTGTCTTAACAACCTAGACACCAATCTGCGTTTTCCTATAGTATATGGACGTTACGTAGACAACGAGACAGCTCACAGTCTGTGTAGGGATCTACCGTACCTGAATGAGACTGTAATTTATGTGCCGTTTCACAAAGTTGTTCTGAACTGGAGCCTATTTGAAAACGAAAGCCAAATTCGCGATTCCTTCATAGGGTTTGGGTATGATGTGTCAACATACACCAAGCCAGATCTAGCCAACTTAAAGGGGAAGTGTACACGAATAAATCACATTTATTCTTATGTGATTCAAAGTGAACTGTTTTAATTAGTTAATACCAACGTTTGAAAATATACACTCATTTTTCTTACAATGTAAGTATAACCCTCAAAATAAGTGCTGAAATGTTATGCCAATCTGAGGTATTTGTTTGCCGAGCTAAACAGGCCTGAGTTACCGCCCTTTGATTATGACGTTATTGGTGCCACTTGATTTTAAACTGGTCTCCTGTCTAGTCCCAAATCAAAAGATAATAATACTGATATTAATCACGTGAAAAAAGGTTTGTGAAAATACGAAAGAAGCATAAGAACAGAAAATGTAAGCAGCAGGACGGATTGATCGTGTGTATTTTCATTCATAACCACGCCTCAGTGAAAATACCAAATATGTATAACAATGTTGACGTCCGTATGACATCACTATCGGGAATTAAGCGACTTTTTCAAAATGGCGTGTTCACTGACACGAGTACGCCAGAGTTTTCGAAGGAAATTTGTTTTCATTGTTTTCATTGTGACCAAGGGAAATAGTCAGAAATTAAGAGAAGTACCGTCATCGTTGTGCGTGAGTTTGCGTCAGTTATGTCGTCATGCTTTCAAAAACTATAATATGTTGTGATGAATCTAGAAAATCATTGGAATACACCTGTTTATTTAACTATTGCTTGCTACGAAAACTTTCCCATGCATGTTCTAAAACTCATGAGCAATTGTATGCAACAAGTAGGCGAAAGGATACACAGTGTAAAATCTGAGATTGGCTTTGTATACATTTCAAACAAGTATTCTTTCACAGCGCGGCATCTCATATCCTCGATATATTTCGTTAGATTTCACTGAAACACTTCGTATTGGTGACAGAGTCCATTTGTCAGCTTATTTTGAACTGTATGAGGAATTCAGGGATTTATGTAAGGAAGATGGTGTTGAATTATACTATTAATTTTATGGACGAAACATAACCGACATACATGTGACGTGATTTTATAAACACTATGTAATACAGCTTAAAATTCACTTTGACGTTTGCGTATTTTCCAAAACATTCTCATCGATTCTCGGTTCATCGATAATTTTTTTAAGAACGAGCATTGGTGATTCGATCATACAACAACAAAACTACCGCTGATCACAATGATCACGTCTTTTTCTTTTTAATTCAATTCTTCCAGTAAAATTTGACATTTGAATGAAGACATACCATAAATTACGCAAAACGCAGTGAATGGTGATTTAGAATGTGTCAAAACTGGCGAGATTTACGATGCATGTAATTTTCAGTAAATTTTATCTACAATGAGCGGATGATATCATAGAAAAACAAAATTTCAAACAGTGTTCAAAACTGCAAATTGCATTTATCTGCGTGATGTATTTGGATATGTACTATCGATATCAAAATGAAGGTGGAAGAGGAGGGACATATCGTACGATTTATGTAAGAACTTTAGTAATAAACGTAGAATGCCGGCACATTCACCAATGGCAAGCAAGATGTAGTGCATATACGTTTTAGGTTTCATGAAAAAAGATTCTGTTGGAAAGGCCACCGACTCCGGTTAAATATGTTATACAATTTGGTTACATGGTAACACTTTTAGTACAATGTATACGTTTTTTCAAACTGCAAGGTCATTACAGTGTAGAACTGACCACATAGTCAGCTGACGGCCAAGCAACAGGTGGATTAAAACAGTAGCCTGCGCATCGAGACACAAGAACCACACCTATACCTGCACCACGTGAAATCGGTCTAATAAGGTCTGACGACGTCATTCGTTTATCATTTGGGCACCAATGACGTCATTTCCCAAGGGGCATAAGCCATGGTGTGTTTATTGTGGACATAGAACTCTTGGTAAATGTTGAAAATATGAATTGATATAACGCAAATAATAAATTAGTTACTTCTGATATATGTACGGGTTTGGATATAAAACAACTTGATAAACACTTTTTATGATGAAAAAGTGCAAGACAAAAAGGTTAATTTTCGTGTACACTTGCCCGGCGGCATTTTGGCATCTTAGTCTGCACTCAAATGTTGAACATTGTTGACAATGTGTCACGAATAAACGTACCAAGTTAAAACTCTTTTACATGTATAAAGTTTGTTTTTTTTGGTTAAGCAGCCATCGAAACATTAATTTCTGCCGCATTTTCCCCTGTAAGCAACCATGCTATGTTGTATGGTTGGTAACTGCATGGTGAAGTTGTTGTATGATGTTTTACAGTAATGGACGAGGACTATGTTACACCAGTACTGTTGACTCCTTCTGGGGCAAGTGAGATTTGTAAAGCTGAGGGACATGGTGGCTGCATCCAGTATCCAATGGTCCTTCTGCAGCGTCAGGACTCAGAACTTGGAAAACGATGTCTCTTTGAGTTGTATGTTTACAATTCAGCAGGCCACTTCACTACTGTGAGAACAGAGTCAATCCGTCTTCCGTCACTATTCACTCCTGGTCAAGCTCTGGTCGTAGATGTAGATCCTTCAGATGTAAACTCTTTGACAGACGCGGACTTCCACCAGCACTATTCAGCTTGTGCCCACTGGTCTGGATTCAAACATCACAGAAACGTCACTTTTGAGATAGGCATCGGGTCAACAGCAGGTATGGATGACGTAGCAACGTTTACTGGTGTCACTGGGTCGGATATACAAACAGCTTGTATCAAGTCACCCACTCTCTCGACGTTTGTCAAGTACTTTACATCTATTCGGGCGAAGTGTTCGGGTGGAGAAACTGTTTCGTCGTCAGATGGCTTTATGATTGTGGCAGATGTTCCTCATTCCATTTCTGTCTATGATGGCCCAAGATGTGAACTAAATGATGAAAAGCTGGTTAACTTTCTTGATTTACATAAACTTTCTCACAGTATGAGCGTTAACGTTACATTCGACAATCCACTGCATCTTGGGCAGCACTACAGTGCTGTAGTCAGAAACATCACAAACCTTGAAGGCTTCTCAGTTCTGTCCGATGATGTATTCATCACTGGAAGCAACATGGTAGATAATTCAACTTATCATGTAAAGTTTTTTCCTCTAACAACAAATCCAAATTTCCAATTGAGGTTCGTAAAAGAAAGTAGTATCAACATTGAAGTGTACAGATGTGTTCAAGATGCTGACTACCAGGTTTCAACGACATCCTACACACTACACTGGGAGGGCAATAGTGAATACCCGGATTTTGCCACCCATTATCATGTCCAGTTACTGCAAAGCACATATAACAATGAATCTTGTGTCAAAATCATTAGCGAGACAAAGGTTAAAGCAGGAAGAGGCACAGCACATTGTTTCAAAAATCTAAATCTGAAAACTGGACACCGTTATTTGGGTTCTATATCGCCTTGCTTTGGACACATTTGTATCACAGAACAGTTGTCTGATGGTGTGTTGGTATCTGAAATTCCAGAGATTGGGAATATCGTTTCTGTCATTCAAGATGAAACTGGAGATTGCACAAACATATCTGTTGAAGTAGAAAGTATTGACTGTGGCGAGTCCTTAAAAATATCTGGGAACTGCATCATTCAATGGGCAATCGTCAAGACCGAATCAGATATCAGCCCAGTGACAACATGGATGCAAGAAGATCCTGGCTCTTGCAATGTCAAGGTAAATATGCTGATAATGAGTCTAATGATGTAAGCTACAAAACAGTGCACAATGTATATCAATCACGCACCTGACACAAGTTGATAGTCTTTGTGTTGGTTCAACTTATCGTAAGTCATATTTCCTAAGGAAAATTGTTGAATAGATAGTTGAATGCATACTCATTCTGATTTCAGAGCTCTAGATGCCTGCACCTTCCAATCCACTCCTATCAAACACTGTTCACATGTGTACGACTCTTCTGTCCATCTGGGCAGTTTGGTTCCAAATGTGCTGAGCTGACATTGAACCCATACGCTACGTCGTATAGTGAGCATGCACTGTTCGAGCTGCCTGCAGATGACAACCGACTGGCCAATATTGAAGACATTCTCCACAGTGAACGACTTGGCACAAGACTAAAGCTGCTACATGTGCTGGATGTTGACTTCATCAACAGCAGCAATAGAGTGAGTGCTGTCATCACCAATACAGCTGGCCGCAATGTCACTTGGTTCATCATGAGGGGAATCCAACAGGTTCCAGTGTATGACTGTGACTCTGATATATCTTGCTTGACATGGAAATTTACACAAACTGGGTTTGTCAGGTTCGGTTGGATTGACTTTGACGATTCCGAATCCTATTACATATGTGCCAATGTCAGTGAAAATACAGAAAAGGAACTATTGTCCTTCACCCTTTGCGGAAATGGATTTGTGGTGGACAAGACTCCCCCTCTTAGAGGTTCCGTCAGTGTCACTAACGCAGTATCTGGCTACATCACCGATCCCTCAAGGATGGTCATTACATGGACTGGATTCTCTGACAAGCTGCCACATGGAGTTGTATATGCCCATGCAATCAAATCATACTCAATTGCTATCGGTATGAAGCTGTTTAAATATTATAAACATACATAATTTCATATCTGATTTGGGAAAGAATATAGCACATAATATAGCAAAGTTCTGTTCTCTTGTTGTTTACACATAGTTTCTCTTATACATTACATTTCAACCTTATGTTTGAAGGGAACTATCCTCATGGTCAAAATACCATGGCATGGACAAAGATTGGTGAACGCACATCGTTTCAAGCTGAGGGGCTTCCCATCAAGACTGGAGAAGTGTACTATGTCACAATCAAAGGTGATTAAACTGAAGGAAACAAACGCATCTGTCATTTTAATATGAATCACTCCGTCATGAAACATGTGTTATTGACTCACTATCAAATTGTAATGATACCAAAGCTTCGTGAAAACAAACCAGCAGTCCAAAACATTATTCAAATTCATATTTACATGATACATGACAGTTTTTGTTCAGGGACTTTTCAACAGAACATTATTTTTCTTGTTTACACAGAAACTTCCTTTAGTCAATTTGATATTTTTCAGCTGAAGATCATGTTGGTCATACGACCGAGAGTATTTCTCCTGAAGTAGTAGGCGATCTTACTCCTCCTCTATGTGGTGAGATTCGGGTTGAAGGGATGTACCCGCATAAGAAGGTTTTGAGGACAAAGTCACTTCACATCCAGTGGAAGGATATCCACGACCCCGAAAGTGGCATCGAGTCCTACCATCTGAATATTTTCACATCCGTCAATACAGAAGCGCCACCTCTACATTTTGCAACAAGAACGGAATCTACAATTATTCACATTGATAATACATTTATTGAAGGACATGCCTATGAAATCAGAATTCAGGTAAACAGTAGGAGGATGTATTTTAACAATAACAGGCGTGGAAACTTCAACGTACACATTGTTGTTACACAATTACTGTATAATTCCTAATTCTTTGAATTCTAGGCCACCAACAACGCCCACCTTCGGTCTCTGTGCATATCAAAGTCATTCACCATTGATAACTCCCAACCACTTGCTGGTATTGTTCGAGATGGTTATGTTGGAAGTAAGGTGAGGGTCGTTTTAGTCAGTAAAATGTCATTAAATTAAAATATAACCCATCTTCAATGACAATCGACAAGGTGCTTATGGCACGCATTTCACGACTTGCTGCTTGGGTACTTTTGTCTTCATTGATAGAGATTTATCGTGACCTCCACGTGGTTGTTCAACATAATTTTATTTTGCTTATTATTGCATTTTTATTCATATCTTTGGGTGGGGTGCTTGCTGATTGTTGTTGGATGGTACGTCTTTGAATCCACATTGGTTTATGCAAAGTATATAATTCTAACAAACTGATCATTTGTCTTTTACCTAAGGATGAGGTGGACTATCAAACCAGCACAACTGGGCTAGGCTGCCACTGGACTGGGTTTCACGACCCTCACTCTGGAATACAGGGCTACAGAATAGGACTTGGGACTTCACCAGGCGTTTTGGACGTCAAGCCTCTCCTGTCTGTTGGACTTCGGACAAGTAACTAAAGAACTATATAAGTGTTAACTAAGAACACTCACATAACGTTAAGTTGCATGTAACCACTAATGCCATACAATGAATTACAGCACAATGATGGGGCACCCGAAATTGTCTTCATACATTGTACAGTTTGGGGGAATCGAGGTCTACCGTGTGACGATCGAACTCTTTCATAACTACGCTACCTCAGAAATTGGGTGTCCAACAGTTGCGTTTCAATAAAGACAATGTCGATAATACTAGCAATATGTATCAAGTGTCATTTAGATGTCGTAGACGAGACGAATACCACTTTGTATTAGTATGTCCTTATTACCATACAAGTCGGTGCAGTTTATATCTGGATATTATCATATATATCCATATGTCTTTAAGTTTAAGCAGTCGTTATGCACCAAAAATGTGAATGTTATTAAAAGTCTAGCAATCTATCTGAAGAGAAATCTACCTGTTTGACTGCTATATATTGATGTACTATATTTATGTATATGTATTGAATGCGCACAAACAAAAACGTTTGTATTTTTTGTACTCTTGCCCATGAGGCCATAATGCGATAAAATCTCTCTCTCTCTCTCTCTCTCTCTCTCTCTCTCTCTCTCTCTCTCTCCTACCTCACTTGCCCTACACATCATATGTTTAATGTGTGTGAATATGTTTCAGAATATAACTGGACACATGCCTTCATCCCTGGAGTGAAGTACTACAGCACAGTCGAGGTGTGTAATAATGCAGGGCTCTGTGTCACTACATCTTCTGATGGTGTCGTTATTGATGGATCCGCTCCTGCAGCTGGTGTTGTTTCTGTTGGTCACACTGACACTCATAACAAATATCACGGTCACAGGTGAATGATTTCTGAAACATTTTTTTAGTCTGTCAAGCAATGCATATTTTCCTTAGCTGTACATCCACATTAGGGTTTTTCGTTAGGTTATTGTACAAGCCTCTATATCTTTCACATTTTCATTTACATTTGCAAATAATGGAATGACAGTTGATTCCTTTGCCATATACGTTAACATTAATATGCAGTTTATGCACAGGGTCAATTATGAGTGGCATACTTATCGCCTATACAACTACTTACAATGTTTATAAACTTTATATACATTTATAGTTCAGTGCCATTCGTCCATTGCAGATCATATATCCACAGTAAATGGGTTGGTTTCGAGGATGCTGAGACAGGAATCCACCATTTTGAGTGCTGTATTGGGCAGAGATCGGGTTCTTGTGACATTATGAATTTCACCAACACTGCTCTCTCCGATTCTTACTTGGCAAGTGGGCTGCACCTACCACTCTCTGTTCCTCTGTTTGTGACAGTACGAGCATACAACCCTGTAGGTCTGTTTGTCGAAGCTGTCTCCCCCAGTTTTGAAGTTGATGACACTGCACCAGAAGTCATCGACAGACCAGTGTTCATATCAACATCACCAGATGGACCCGAAAACATCACCATACAGTGGGATAACAGTGTCCTGTATTCACGGTGGAAGTTTGTTGATAATGGGAGTCCAATACATGAGCACATACTTAGCTTTAAAACTCACCACGAGTCAGCAGTAGCAGTAGAACAGATTACCTTAGGACCACAGAACTCGTACTTACTGATTCTGGCGAAGGAAAAGCGACTTAGGAATGGAGACAAATACCAACTGTCGGTGACTTCCTGCAACCGTGCAGGCTTGTGTACAACGTCACACAGCAACAACATTCTGATTGATTCTACTTCTCCGATAGTGGGAGGCTTTAAGCCACCACTAACGTGGCAAACTATCAGTGTCAATGGATCTGAAGTAACATTTGTCAATCTTACCTGGTATCGGTTTTCAGATGCAGAATCAAACATTTCCTGCTATCATTTAAATGTTGGAACGTCGTATGAAGGTGGTGAACTAACAAATGGTACGGTTACAGTCAACCATGACCCATCTGTGAAGGAGCAGTCAAGCACAATCCAACTAACACAGACACTTGGTGGAGGGGAAATCATTTTATCTATTTGGGCTGAGAATGATGCACATCTTCTGAGTCCTGTTGGTAAAGTTACCGTCTCAGTTGTAGCAACAGATCACAAGAGGAGAAGTGAGGGAACACTGGAACTACAGCGTCACTCCTGTGACACTCACTACTGTACTGATGACTGTACATGTGCAGTGGTTGGGCGGAAGTGTAATCCACCTTCCACACCCGTTACCTGTCGTGATGTGTCAAATATCACCTCACACAGGCTTGTGGATGTCCAGATATATCCAAGAGCCCGTAACCAATCTGGCCTGTACATTACATCTTCTCTGTCTTGTATTGCCGGGTATTGGGAGATGGATCCAGCATACGACATTCAGCGATATGAGTGGAGCATGGGGCTGCTTAACGAGCCTTTTGGGGCTGGAATATTTAAAACTAATGAGGAAAGTATCTGGTATGATGTAGGAAGGAGGACTGACATAGTCCACTGTCTGCCATATGGCCGAGCCCTAGAACACGGAGACGACTATGTCATCTACATCAGAGCTTGGTACTCAGATTCTGAATACAGAGTCTTCACATCGCCGAGTATAAGAGTCGACCATACACCACCTTCTGTGAGAAGAGGTCGAGCACTGAAAGATTCAGATTCAACATGCAGCCGAGACTTTGACGTCTTCAACAGCAATGAGACTGTCATAACTGCCTGTTGGCAAGGATTGTTCCAGGAAACACAGACAAGCATTGAGGAATACATAGTCTGGGCTGGTGTTACAAAATATGGTAAGTGAATCATCTATACATATGATTCATACGTTTATCTCTATATAAGATTGACATAGATATGTTCTTGTTGGATATAAAATATTGGGAGTAAATTCAAATGATCATATTTGTGTTCATGTCACAGCATGATATTATAATGTGTTATTTTTCCAGGTTCAGACCTCTTGCCATATCAGAGTGCAGGACTGACTACAAACATATCCCTACCAGTGGTAAATATGACTCATGGTACCAAGTATTATGTGGGCATTCGCGCCATCAACTCCTTGAACATGTCCGCCACTGTCAACTCAGATGGCTTTGTGATAGATGCAGACATTCCAGTTAGTGGAAATGTGTTCAACACTGAACGTCATCAAAGTAGATTGACAAAGTCTGATAACTCATCCTTTGGTGTCTCATGGCACGGATTCCAGGATCACCACTCCAGTGTCAAGCAATGTCGTGTTTACCTGAGGGGAAGACAACTCATCACATACTGTTACCAACACCACAGTGACACTCAGGAACACAGTTCTGTTTGATGACTTGAGCCTAGAACATGGACAATATTACACGGCTTCTGTAGTGGCAGAGGACTTTGCTGGGCATCTCAGTGACGAAGTGACATCCCTTCCCGTGTTAGTTGATGTTACCCCTCCATATGGATTTGTGTGCAAGAACTTCACAAATATCTCCATCACTAACATGACACATGAGAAAACTGATGTTGGATCTGGTTCCTTGAATGTATTCAAGGTTTATTTACCTCGAGATACCGGGTCACATTATCGCGTGAAGGTTTGCATTCAGTGGGATCATCTGGATCATGAAGAGGCTGAGTTTGCAGTGGGTGGCATCCATATCCAGATCCCATTTGTCTTAAGATACAACCATACATTGCACTGTGCGGAATACCAGTTTACACTTGATACAGAAATTGTGTCAGTCTCAGCTCTTTTAGAAATCACAATTCAGAGTAAAGAATCGTTCCAGGAGGCAGATATAGAAATAGAGGAATGCACAGACAGAGGGAGAACAGATGGACCAGATGCTATAACAGCACGACAACTGACGCCCTCACTACTAGGTATCTGCACCAGGATGATGGACCCAGAAAGTGGCTTAATGAACATACAGATTGGAGCTGGTACAACACCGGGAGGGTTTCAGCTTCAGCCCCTTCGCCATGCAGAAGCTGGCTTCCACCAGTTGGTGCAGGTGACTGTCCCCCATGGGACGCCAGTTTACACAACAGTCATCGCTGAGAATGGTGCTGGACTGAGGACGCATTATCTTTCTAAACCGATTGTACTCGACCACACTCCACCCACAGTATCAGATGTAAATGCCGCTCTGGTTTATTCTGGTAGCAAACCTTCTCAAATAGTATACGCATCTGGATTCTGGTCAGTTGAAGACGAGGAATCGGAAATCTCTACATGCTGGTGTGCTCTTGGTAAGTGTTTGTTGTACCGGTAATATATACCGACGATCTACATACCCATGTTACCATTATCCATGATGTAACATATGTTATATTTGCGATTACACTTTCTTAATAAAGTACAGATTCTAGTACTTTTGTTGGGTTGAGTCCCATCCATTTTTGTGGAAGTCGCGGTGGCTTAGCGGGTTAGGCGGCTGAGTTTGTTTGTGTGCTGGCCATTAGGTGCCTGACTCTGAGGCTGTGGGTTCGAATCCCGGATGGGACCCAACCCAACAAAAGTACTAGAATCTGTACTTTACTAAGAAAGTGTAATCCCAATATAACCTATGTTACATTTGACCACTTTCTAAATGACACTGTGTTATCATTATCCATGATGTTTCTGATTTTCTCTTACTTATATGTACCCCTGGAACGTATTGTTAAAATATCTTATTTATGTTTATAGGTCACATGAGGTTGTCATCTGATCTCCATAGCTGGGTTACCTCCGAGAGCAGTACATCATGTCAGATAACGGTCCCACACCCATCCCATGGGGTCAGGCTCTACATGACTATACAGTGCACTAACAACGTGGAACTGGACACTCTCGTCTCATCAAACGAGCTACAAATTCTCTTCAGGCCACCATCCGCTGCTGGTAGTGTGGTAGACTTTGTGGTGCAGAACAGGTACAGCCAGCATGGGAAACACGCCCCCCAGTCTATCATGTCGTCTCTCGCATTTCAGTGGACTTGGCCAGACCAGGACACAGTCAGTCACTACCAGTGTCGAGTAACAGACGTCGAAGTATGGATGAACACTACCCTGAGATACTGTGAAATGTCAGGTGTGCGCCTGAAAGACGGGGAAAGCTACACAGCCGTGGTTCGTGCAGTAAACATGAGGCAGCAAGTCAGTGAAGCAGTATCAGCATCTGTCACAGTAGACAGCACAGCGCCAGTACTTACAGGTACAGTGGGACTGTCATGAGGAGTGTTGCCGACTTGCCACGTGATAGATTCATATTATTGAATTTACTTGTACATACAATGTAAAATGTTATCCCCTCTTGTCTGAAGAAATGCCATACAACATTGATAATCAGAATATAATTCCCACGGTACACAATATACATTGTGGTTTGCCTTAATCCGTTCTTGTCCTAAGAACCTTCTTGTGAAGACGTTGAGTTCTTTCACTGTATGATCTGCCGAAGGAGTAGTAGGATCATTTGTCTGATCTGTTTACCTTAGGGATATCGACCAAAACTAGCATTAACTAACTCAATCGAGAGTCGATTAGGCACATAGTAACGTTACTGACATGATCGAATATAGATAGATGTCGTGTGCTGATCGTCGTTTTCTGTACATGATGTTTTCCCGGTGTATATAAGCTTGGGAGAGTATGATTGCAAACATTAACTCTGGTATCTAAAGTAACGATAAATAATCAGTGAGTTGATGCCTATTTACCTACTGATTAATGCTATATTATGTTTACATACGCAGGAAGAAAAGCGTTAGTTCAGTGGAGGTCTGACAGTGTGAGGGTTTTCTATGGCGATGTGTTTTATCCCAGAAGAGACCACCTGACCTACACCATCAGCGTCGGCTCCAACAAGGGCTACAGCGACTACATGCATCTGTATACTACACGCCACAATGACGTCACAGTCAACGTCCCTGGCATCACATCAGAGGTTCACGTGACACTAACAGCTCAAGCACCTGTTGGAACTTATGAAACTTACTATGGTTCTTTCACTAGAAACTGAAACTAACGGGTGCAAACATATTGGCATCAGCATCATGAAATAACCAATCATATCTCGTGGTCTTTGTTTTCCTGTAACAAGTGTGTTTGTATGCAGTGTATTTTCATATAGCAGACCAGTGTAAACTGAAACTATTCGAGTGTGTTTTTCTACATAGCGTAGTTAATATTTTCAGAACATATATATCAGTGTAACCAGAAACCAAAACTATTTTAGCTTATGATTACATAGTGCGTGGTGAAGAACGGTACTGGGATAACGCACAACAGAGCTGATGTTGGCGAAGCCTTTGAGACAATACGACGTGATATATTCTATGATGAAACAAAATGTATGAATCGTTGGAGATGAATGAAACCCCAATAATGCGTAATTAATCTATACTGTCTGTATTGATTACATTTCGACGGTAGCATACCGTATTATACGTCAATATTGCTGTTCAGAAAAGTCGTCGTTACTTTTTTGTCATTATTTGATTCGTACGCTGCACGTAGTCTGCGTGTAATTAAATATAATTGTATTCAATGATCGCATACTTATTCTTTTTATGTTATGTGACCGGTGCGAAAACTACAAGAGACATCATGGTCTGATTCGACTTTCTTATCTCCAGATGTACATGTACAATATGGTACGGATATAGTCTAACAAAATGTAGCCTGTTTTACATTGCATGTAAGTGCATGTGTCCAAAATGCTCTGATCATAATTGTACTCTATATAGTCAAACGTTCAGGACACATTTTCAAATGTCAGAGTACTGACAAAACAGACTGAGAAAACAATGTTTGAAATACTGGACGTCTTTGAAGATGACGTATGTGAAATAAGGGGCATGACACTGAAGCAAAGAGGAATCAATTCGCACAACTGTGCTTCCTTGCACGGACAATCCTCTTTACATGTCTTCATGATAAGTATCACATTTCATTTAAAGTCAAATAAAACAAATCTTTTGAAAGGCATTTAGAAGTTGGACGAACATGAATACATGACACGTTTTATGGATATCAACTTCTTTTTATTCTTTACACGACGTTTCAGAGCTAAGTCTTGCTCCCCTTATCAGGTGAATGAAGATGAAGGAGCAAGAATTAGCTCTAAAACGCCGTGTAAAGAATAAAAAAGAAGTTGTTATCCATAAAAAGTGTCATGTATTCAAATAAAACAGTTGCCTTACACGCACATGCTGCATGTCGTTGGATAGCTGGATCCCGGAGCTACACGGAGAATTTTTCCGTTTGTGTTTATGCAAATTTATAGCCGAGCAATTAAGGTTTCTGTGATTTAAGCTGTGTGTTTTTCTTCCACGTAGGTCCAAGTGGAAGAAATTTGTTCCACCCAGCCTCCGGTGGAAGTCGCCTGCGCCATTGCATTTTGGAAGCCTTCTACTTTGTCATATCTATGCATGTTATACGTTGTTGGAAACCTGAGGAAACGCTCTCTCCAAATATGCAAATGTGAATATTGTGCTGCGCCTGGTAACCAGTCCAGATTGAAACTCCGACGTGATGTTTTGTGTAATTTTAGTGAAGTTCAATTCTTCTGTGATATAGCAATTTTTTGCCAACACCATGCAGTCATGATATAACGGCTACTACTCTTACACATCACCTCAGAAAATACATTTCTATAGTGCGTTTGAAAGCCATTTAAGGCGTGTTTTAGACAATGTATAATACACACATCTTGCACATTCAGTGGTGGAGGTATATAAGTATTAAAGTGCGAACTGCAAAATATATGGGACGTGATATAGATTGGCGGAATTTAGATTAATCTGTACACCGGCTATACCGGCGGCGTTAATATTTACATCTGTAGTGCATGTGGAAGATCATTCATGTGGGATTCTGGAAATATGTAATATGTCGTTGTGCAACATTAGATAGTTGAGCTATACCGGACTGAATATGCTTCACAGAACTACAAAGTACAATAGTTTGAAATCTAACCATAACAGCAATACCCGTCGTTCGATCCTTGATGTCTATGCATTTGAATGCATTTGAAAGCCCTTTAAAAATTCCCCTCTTACGACGTATAACACGTAGATCTGCAATATTTTGCAAAGGTGCTACACACATCTGAAAATGCCGCCGCTTCTGGGGTCCGTGTCACCTCCGCCATCAGCGGATGTAGTGTTCGGCTATAATTTCTATTTCCGTGGTTCGGTTCGATCCTTCATTTCTATAATTCATATGAAAGCCCTTTACAATGCCTTTCTTACGACGTATAACAGGTACATGTGCACTATTTTGCAAAGGTGCTAGACACATCTGAAAATGACGCCGCTTCTGGTGTCCGTGTCACTTCCGCCATCAGCGGATGTTCACTTCGGCTATATTTTCTATGTCCATGGTCCGATTTTCAATATGTCTAATGCAGTCAAAAGCCCTCGAAAGTACGCTTCAAACGACGTATAGCACGGACATGTGCAACATTGTGCTGAGACGTTACACACGTCGGTTTATACCGCCGCTTCTTGTGTCGACGGCCTTTCAAATGGGCCTTTGTTCAGGCTTTGCCTTATCGCGTCTTTTGTTTGCTTCTAATTCCTTTATACCTATCTGCAACATACCTGTATTGGTATCATTAGAAAGCTCTTTTGACGTCGGTGACGGTGGTGAACGCAGATTTGATCTATCCTGAACATTAAAATATATATTGCACAATTTGTAAGAAAAAATCGTCATTTTTTGCTATACTTCTGCAGAAAATCCTATATAACTCTTGTTTCCAAGTATAACTCTTGGCTTATATTGCCAGAAAGCCCATTCAATGGCGGAGGTGCATGCAAAACGGCGTGTTTCTAACTCTTCAAATAAAGTATTAATTAACTTTTTAAAATGCATAGTACTCTCAGGCGAAAGTTAAACATTCCAACATATTGACGGGGTATTCTTTACTCGGGGAAAAGGAGCCAGGTTGGCCACTGGCTCGGACATTTGGCTTTGTTCCACGGGCACGGCGATGTGAAAATTGCGCCGCTGGCCTCCACGTCTGCCCACGGAGATCGGAAAGATGGTAGTGCATAGACGGATAATTCCGACCTCCACCATGATAGCCTAGCTTGTGTAACGTCGCGCGACGTTGCTCGTGCTATTCATCATTCGTTCTCCTGAAGATGCTCGATGTACAGACGGCCATGGTCTAGCAGAACTGAATCAGATTGAGTCTTGACAGGTGGCTCAAAGGCGACTTTACTGGAAGCAAGCTCAAATGTTGATGATTCATAGGAGGCGAAGGGGGCGACCCTTAGAGGAGAGGCGATGGTGGCGAAAGCGGTGGCTGGCGCAGGCTAACCAGTTCGAAGTCACCGGCATTGGCTCAGAGGCGACTTGGCGGTAAGCAAGCGCAAACGATGGTGATTTTCTGCTGGAAACAGGACGAAATGCTGGTGTGGCATAGGGGGTGAAGGGGCGGCCCCTAGAGGAGAGGCGATGGTGGCAAAATGGTTGTTGGCACAGGCAAACCAGTTCGAGTCTTGGCAGTGGCTCAGAGGCGACTTGGCAGTAAGCAAGCAAGCGCAAACGGTGGTGATGTTCTGCTGGAAGCAGGACGAAATGCTGGTGTGGCATAGGGGTTGAAGGGGCGGCCCCCAGATGAGAAGCGAGGGTAGCGAAATGGTGGCTAGCGCAAGCAAACCAGCTCGAGTCTTGGCTGTGGCTCAGAGGCGGCTTGGCAGTAAGCAAGCGCAAACGGTGGTGTTTTCTGCTGGAAGCAGTACGAAATGCTGGTGTTGCATAGGAGCGAAGGGGCGACCCTAAGAGGAGAAGCGAGGGTTGGAAAACGGTAGCTGTGCACCCAAACCAGCTCGAGTCGGCAGTGGCTCAGAGTCGACTTTGCAGTAAGCAAGCGGCAGCGGTGGTGTTTTCTGCTGGAAGCAGGGACCGAAATGCTGGTGTTGCATAGGAGTGAAGGGGAGAACCTTTCCGATTTTGATTGCCATATTTCAATATATTTCAAATAATACTTCTTGTTGGAAGAGTGAGTGAGGTAATATTTAACGTCACATTGGCAAAGTTTCACGCATATCATTGACGAGATTGAGTGAATGAGTGAGTCATTATTTATCGTCACATCGGCAATATTTCAGCCATATCGTGACGAGAACAATTAATTCTCAGTAAAGATCAGTAATATTAGGAGCTATAAAATTGTTTACGATGAATAGTAAAACTACTAGTGTATCACAGATAGAGATATAGAACTAGCTTGTAAATAAAACCTATACTATAATGGAAGACAATACAATATAAAAACGGGCTATAGATCACCATCAACTGAAGGTAGATCACCACACTAGAGACCATGGGGACTTATAGTACTTTGGCTACCTGCATGGACCCTAGACGGATTTATATCATCCCCTCTTTCGCTGGTGATTGTACTTAAATTTAGCCACAACTCTGCATTATCGTGGCGAGAACAAATTTGCCGTTGATATTATAAAACCTATCGTCAAAGGACAGTAAAACAACTAGACTATCATAGTTAGAATTGAAACTTGCATGCAAAGTTAAAACTAATAGCACTATTTGGACAATACATGATATAAAAGCAGGCTATAGATCGCCAACACCTGCATATAGATCACCATACCATGGTCCATGAGGACTTACAGTACTTTTGCTACCTGCATGAATCCAAGCTGGATTTACACAACACCTTCAGCCATTGGCGGTTGTGTTTAGATTTAGCCACAAGTTAAAACGACAATAATACTACGATTAAACAATGTGGTAGATCAAAATTTACTTTAATTGTTGTGGTACTTACGTATCTTCTCGGGAGGACAATAATTTTACAATACTTTAAAACCCTCACGAGTTCAGTTTCTAATTTAAACCACTAATACTAAAATGCATTTATCTACTCTAAAACCTATAAATAAAAAAATATGAATTCTTTTGCTTTTAAAAATTCGATAATGAAATGATAGTTAACATTATTTAAAATATCCTTAACACGTTTAACACTGACATATTTGTCCCTTTTGATGAAAAAATCAATACAGTCAAGCAGGACATGCTTGACCGTGATTCTTTCATCACAAGGGATGCAACATGTAGGATCCTCATTTTTAAGCAAATACTCATATCTTGAGAGGCCAATACGACAATGTCGTATAATGACCTCCTCAAATCAGGACTGATAACCCAAGTAGATATAACCAATATTAATATAGGGCTGTATTTCATGTAATTTCTTAAAACCTATTTGGGTGTCCCACTTCTTTTGCATCAGATCAAGGATGGACGATATAATGATAGCTTTGTAATCAGAGTATGGAATGAGAAGTGCTTTTGATTTGGATGAGTGCTGCCTTAGCAGCAAAATCGGCCATTGTTACGAGTAGATACGTTTTTAAAAGCCTAAAGGCAAGAAAGAGAGTCCGAAAAGATGATATATTGTTTATATTTAGGGTGTTTTTTAAAA